AGGAGTGCGGCAGGGACATCTCCCCGAGGAGAAACCGGGAACGAGCCCGATGGAGCAGGGACATCTCCCCGAGGAGAAACCGGGAACGAGCCCGATGGAGCAGGGACATCTCCCCGAGGAGAAACCGGGAACGAGCCCGATGGAGCAGGGACATCTCCCCGAGGAGAAACCGAGGCACAACGCAGCCCTGCCCCGCCCGGCTCCTGCCTCGACATACCCGGCTGATGAATCAGCCCCGGCTGGGCCGAGACCCTGCCCCGGGGAGCAGGAGGAGGGCGAAAAGCCCTAATTCCTCAGGATGCTCGATATTATCAAGTGCTAATGAGGCCTGGATGGGGCTGAGGTGCTTTGCAGGCCATTATCCCGAATTAACCTGACAATGAGGCCGGGGAGCGGTGTCTGAAGGGCGGCTCGGGTGTGTATTGCCTGTCTGGGCTGGGGACGGGGCGCTGCCTCCTCTGCCTCCCCCCCGAGCACAAACCGAGGCCCTTGGGGTTCGCAGGGGAGATTTTCCATCGCACGAACACCGAATCGTGGAATGGCTGGGGCTGGAAGGGACCTCAAGGACCATCTCGTTCCACCCCCTGCTTGGGCAGGGACACATTCCACAGTCCCGGGCTGCTCCAAACCCCCTCCAAGCTGGCCTCGGGCACCTTGAGTCAGCTCCTGGGGAGGTTTGACAAGCAGGAGAGAAAACGAGGTGACAAGGATGGAGAGAATGGGCACAGACCTTGGGACGAGGCTCTCCTGTGAAAGTGCCGTGTCCCCAAATTGTCCCGTCCATCCTCTGCTGACACCGGGCTCTGCCAGGGTCCCGGGCTGGACCGGGGCTCCCTTGCTCCGGTCCTTGGGGACCCTGAGAGGAGCTGAGGTGCCAGAAGCGACTCCTGGTAAATGCTGTCCCTCCTGCTGCAGGAGGATCCCACCCCAGCGCGGTGCTGTGAGGCTCCCGCAGCTCCCGGGGCCTGGCCGAGGGTGACAAAGGCGAGGCAGGGGGGGCTCCCTGGCACCCACCTCCAGAACACCCTCACTAGAGCTGCTGGCCAGAGGAATTCACCTCCTCGAGGCCTTACACACATCCACGATCCTCCTGGGAGAAAACCCCTGCTCCTCTTCCACTGCAAAGAGGGATCCCCATTCCCCTCTCCCAGAGGACCCAGTTTGGAAAGGGTAAATCACCAGCTCAGGGAGCCGTGGGCTTTGAGGACGCTCCTATTTGCCCAAAACTGGTTCATGGGTTATTATTTACCGTCACTTTGGATTAGCACAGGAGAAACCTTAGCAAAAATCTGACATAAACCAAAAAGTGGTGCTCAGAATCCCGATTTTAAGGCAATTTTCACTTAAAGACCCGAGCTGAGGATTTCAGCCCCCTCAGGCAGGAGCACGGGGAGCGTGGGATCCATGGTGCCGCTGGCTCAGGGATGCTCCCGGTGCAGGAGATGTTTCCCGGCTGCCAGGAGGACTCACGCTCGGATTACACACGCACACAATCCCCGGCAGGTTTTTCGCGTGTGCTTGCTGTGGTTTTGGGGAAATTTCCGCCGCCCCTTTGGCCCCGCTGGGGATGGGGATGGGTTTGAGGCCGGGAGAAGGATGGAAATGGAGCCGGGCTCTGCTCACCGGCGAGAGGCGAGGTGTGAAATTTCTCATGGGCGAACAAGTGAGAGCTGCGGGGTGCCCAGAAGAAGGGGGACAGAAAAGATGAAGCGGGGAGGGGGGGAATGAGGAGGAGGAGGAGGAGAGAAAGCAGCAGCCAGGGAGGAACAAAAATCCCTAAAGCACCAACCTGGATTGAAGAGTGGGGCGTTTTCTATGGGGGGATTGTAAAATGCGCTCTCTCTTTCCCCTTGGCAGGGGGGAAAAGGGCCCCCCCTCTATCTGATAGTCATTAGCATCAATTAGCCCCGTTTGAAGTAGGCAACATCTTTGTCTCTTTGCAAAAAAAGAAATAAAAAAACCTTTCAGGGAGCCCATAATAACATCTGGAGCAGGAGAGGCTGAACTCGAGTTCCCCACTTTCATCTCTTGTCGAGGGACTTGGAATGTTAATGCAGCCTCATTCTTTAATGGAGTTATCAGGAAATGCTTTTCACCTCCTTGCCTTTGCTCGGGAGGGATGTTTACAAAGGGCTGGGGGCTTTTTGGGGGGCTTTTTGGGTTGTTGTTTTGTTGTTGGGATTTTTTTTTACTCCTTCCCTAAGAAACTCCCCCTAAGAGATTCCCCCCCCCATTTTTTCCCCCCTTTTTATTTTCTACGCTCTTGAAAAACAAAACAGGAATAACATATAATGAATAGGATCTAGTGAATAAAATAAAGTAAATAAAATAACCAGAAAAGCAGAGAGGATCGGATGCCATCCTTCCATGTCCCCTGGAGGCTCTGGAGCTGCTGTGGGCAGGGCAGGGGGGGTCCCGGCCAGGGCCCCCCGCCCCTCCCGGCTGCTGCATTTCCCAAGTCATTACCAGGAGTGAGAATTTCCAGCTTTCCCAGTAAAATGCGTTAGCAGAGCACACGGAACCGATGGGAATGGATGGGAGCCAACGGGAACTGATGGGAACTGATGGGAACCGATGGGAACCGATGGGAACCAACGGGAACCAATGGGAACCAATGGGAACCGGGACACGGCGCCAGGCAGCGCGGGGAAAGCCAAAGGGGAAAGTCAGCTGGGGTTTGGCATCCGTCTGTCCATCCCTGAGCTGCCTGTCCATCCATCTGTCCATCCCTGAGCTCCCTGTCCATCCCTGAGCTCCCTGTCCATCCCTGCAGTTCCCTGTCCATCCCTGCAGTTCCCTGTCCATCCCTGAGCTCCCTGTCCATCCCTGCAGTTCCCTGTCCATCCCTGAGCTCTCTGTCCATCCCTGAGCTCCCTGTCCATCCCTGTCCATCTGTCTGTCCACCCATCCTGCTGGGGGATCTGTCAGCCCCCCTGTCCTGCCTGCAGCTCGCCCATCCCAACACCCTCACCACGGATCTTCAACAATCGCAGCAGCTCTGACGTGGCTTTCCCTGGGAATCACCAGCCAGGACTTGTGATAAAGAGCAAAAATCATGAACTGATCACCTCTCAATAACCCTAAACCTCACATAACGTGTTCAAGCCCACACATCCTCCCTCTGGTCCAGCAGAGCCGGGAGCTGTGAATCTCCAAGGACGTTTTTTGGGAGAGGCTCCAGCACTCGGCCAGCTCTGAACGTGTGATGTGTGATTCCAATTAAGGCCGTGCTTCCACGGCAGCGGGATCAGAGCTGCCTGTTTGGATAAGGAGCAATAAAGCAGCAGCTGTATTTATTCACCTATTTGGAAGCTGCTGGAGAAGGCAGGATGCTAAAAGGCAGGAAAAAACATGTTTTAAAGGCAAACTTTGGGGGCTCTTTTGTCTCCTGTGGGCATCCTCCTCCCTGGGGATCCTGTAGCCATCACCAGGGCGCTTCCTCGTGAGCAGGATAATCCTGCCTGCGTAGTCCCATTGCTTTGAAACGCTCAGAAACACAGAGATTTTTATGGTTATTTCTATGGATTGTGCAGGGTAAAGAAACTTTAAATGGCACGAATCCCTGTTTAAGGCAGGATTTAGTGGCTATGGCCTGTGAGCCTGTGCATGCAGGGATGGTTAATGCCGGGTTATTAAACCACAGGGGATTTTTGCTCTGTTTATTAACCTGGAGGCTCTGGGATTTCTCTGTGTTTGCACACACCGGAGTGAATTTCCAGTGAGAATTTGGTGGGATTTGAGCAGGAATCCCAGCTGGGAGAGGCATCTGTGCCATCCCCAGCTCCCCGTGGCCGTGCCTGGCTCCGAGGCTCGAGCAGGGATGGCACCAGTTCCACTCCCAGAGCGCTCCTCACATCCTGGGCGAGCTCCCGAGATGCTCCCGGGATCACAGCTGTTCCAACACGGTCCCAGAACATTCCCCTCGGCACAGGGGCACCGTGTGCCGGCACAGGGGGCCCTGGGGAGCGGGGGGCTCCCGGGGGAGCGGGGGGCTCCCGGGGGAGCGGGGGGCTCCCGGGGGAGCGGGGGGCTCCCGGGGGAGCGGGGGGCTCCCGGGGGAGCGGGGGGCTCCCGGGGGAGCGGGGGGCTCCCGGGGGAGCGGGGGGCTCCCGGGGGAGCGGGGGGTTCCCGGGGGAGCAGGGGGCTCCCGGGGGAGCGGGAGGCTCCCGGCAGTGGGACTCGGGCGCTGTTTGAGCGGGAAGGAATCGGCACTGCTGGGAGGAGGCCACTGGGAAGGAGTTCAGGTGTTGGTTTGGATGTCTGAGGAAGGAACAGGTGCTGCTGTTGGGGTCCATGAGGAAGGAACCGTTATCCAAGGGGTCCAGGGGGGAAGAGCGCAGGTCACTGAGGGGAGGACACAGGGCAGGGGACGCTGGAGGTGACAGCAGGGAAAGAGGGGTGTCCCTGGGGCACCAGGATGGAAAGAGAGGTGGCAGGGGAGGAGAGGTGTCCCTGAGAGTGCTGACATGGAATGGGGGTGCCTGTGGGGAACAGGGATCCGTGTGGAAGCAGGGCTCTCCATGGGGAACAGGGAACAGGGACCCGTGTGGAAGCAGGGCTCTCCATGGCCATGGGTGCTACAGGGGCCCATGGAAGAGCTGGAGTGTGAGGAGGGTTCCCATGGGAATGTCACTGGGGAGGAAGAGGGGTCTGTGGGGAAGCTGGGGTGTCCTTGGGAATGCTGATCGGGAAGCAGGGGTGTCGGTAAGGTGTCGGTAAGGTGTCGGTAAGGTGTCGGTAAGGAAGCAGGGGTGTCTGTGGGGTGTCGGTAGGGAAGCAGGGGTGTCTGTGGGGTGTCGGTAGAGAAGCAGGGGTGTCTGTGGGGTGTCGGTAAGGTGTCGGTAGGGAAGCAGGGGTGCCGGAGGGGGTGCTGCTGGCAGCCAGGGGTGTGTGCAGCCCGCGCCGCGCCCCCGCCGCCGCTTTGCATAGGAGCGCGGCTGTCCCCGGCCCCTGCCCTCCATAAAAGCGGCCGGGCCGGGGGTGGCAGCACTGACCCGGCCATGCTGCAGAGCCCGGCTCGCCCCCGGCCCGGGCCGCCGCCCCCCCAGACCCCGTTCCCTATCGAAGCTCTGCTCGCCCGGGAGGCGCCGCGCCGCTGCCCCGCCGCCCCCGGGAGCCCCGGGAGCCCCGGGCCGGCCCCGCGCTGGCCCTCGCCGGGAGCCTCAGCCCGGCCCGGCCCGGCGGCAGCGGCAGCGGGGCTGGGAGCGCTGCCCGGAGCCTGGGCCTGGCCCTGGGCCTGGCCCGGTGCAGGTGAGCGGGGACGCCGGACACGGGGAGGGATGCGGGACACCGGGAGGGATGCGGGACACCGGGAGGGACGCGGGGCACGGGGAGGGACGCGGGGCACGGGGAGGGACGCGGGGCACGGGGAGGGATGCGGGGAGGGATGCAGGACACCGGGATGGATGCGGGACACGGGGAGGGATGCGGGACACGCGGAGAGATGCGGACACCGGGAGGGATGCGGAACACGGGGAGGGATGCGGAACACCGGGAGGGATGTGGGGAGGGATGCGGGACACCGGGAGGGATGCGGGACACCGGGAGGGATGTGGGGAGGGATGCGGGACACGAGGAGGGATGCGGGACACGAGGAGGGATGCGGACACCGGGAGGGATGTGGGGAGGGATGCGGGACACCGGGACGGATGTGGGGAGGGATACGGGACACCGGGAGGGATGCGGACACCGGGAGGGATGCGGACACCGGGAGGGATGCGGGACACGAGGAGGGATGCGGGACACGAGGAGGGATGCGGGACACGAGGAGGGATGCAGGACACGGGGAGAGATGCGGGAGCGGCCCCCGGGGCACAACGGGGCCGGGCTCATCCCCGAGCGCTCCCCCGCTGCCGGGGCTCGATCTCTGCAGCAGCCCCGAGCTGAAGCGCTGGGCTGTGGGACAGGGACAGCGACAGGGACGGACGGGGAAAACTTTCCTTAAGGGTTTTTTCCCCCCCTCTGTAAACGATTGATATAGTGAGACCCAAAATGAACATTTTATGTGGTTTATTTTATATTGCGAGGCAGTTCCTAACGCAGCCGATGGCTCTGGACACTTTGACAAAGAGCCCGTGGCTGATTCCTAAAATCGCGACAGGATTTTACTAATCCATCATTCAGTCCCCAGTCCAGAACCTGGGGAATATCCAAACTCACTGTTTGCAGTTGAGACGGAGCCAAAAACTTGGAATAAATTTAATAGTAAAGTGACAGAGCTAAAAAAGAGAGAATTCCAGCGCCTGGGCTAGAGGGAGGTGTCGGAGGTTGGAACTGGATGATTTTAAAGGACATTTCCAACCCGAAGAAATCTGTGCTTCCATGAGATTTTATGGGTGACTTTACACACTCTGGCATTTATCTCTCATGTATCAGGAAGGTATTTCACTGCCGGAGTTTTAATCAAAAACTTGCTGTAATTTCCCAAAGCCTTGCTCTCAAAATAAATTTCTTCACCTCTGCTGCTCTGTGGGTCACTCTTCTCCCAAATTTGCTCTCATCCCTCTCTAATTTTGCTTTCCCTGGAATTTTTCACTCACAGAAGTGAAATTGCCAAGTGTTTTGTGGCACTTGCCCCCAAAACTAAATATTTTCAGTGCAGAAGCATCTCGGGAAAAATGCTTTTGATCCGTGGGTAAAATTTACACCGTGGTGATGGATGATACTCCCTGATCTGTCAGGCTCTATTCTCACTGGAACTTTTTAAGGACAACAACCGATTTTACCAAAATATCTTTGTTCAGAGTATTTTTCTTGAAATGAAGTATTCTTTTTTAGCATTCAAAGCGTGATCTTGCTGTTGTCCAGGCAAAACCAGCAGCCAGGCCCATATCCCTTGTGTATAAGGAACTCCAGATTTGATCCTGAATGCTGCATTATTCAGACACCAAAAGTATTTGCTGCTCTTTTATTAAGTACTTGGCACAGCTGTTTAATATATTATTTCTCTCACAAGACAGCATCTGCAGAATTGTGTTAATCTTTATATTATATCAAACATCCAGGTATGAAAACACAGTTAAACAATTTGCAGAGTGACTTCCACTCAACATTTCATGTTGGAAATTACACTTGCTATTATTCCAGTGTTAAAATAGAAACAAAAAGTGATGGGTGAAAAGATTTTAATGATGAAAATAGTTTTAAGTGCAATTACAGCTGCTAAGCTGTCAGGTCTCCGTCCCACAAATCCTTAAACACACGCAGAAATGACACCCAATTAATGAAAATAAGTAGGTCAAGGTGCAGGTTTGTGCCTGGAGAACGTGACAAGATCAGTGATTAAAGGAGAGATAAGTAGCAGGTGTGAATGGGGATCTTTATGTGCAGTATTTCCATAAAAGATAGAGAAACCTGGCTTGCCACAATATTTTGGAACAGCAGAGATGGGGGGAGCATTGATGGCCCGATCCTGCCTGTGCCTTCGGTGCTTTCCACATGGAAAATGACAGTGGCTGTAATTAGTGGAGAATTTTAAAGTGAAAGCAGTGCTGGCCTTCCCTGGCTCCTGAAACATTCCTGCTGTGCTGGGAGCCTGGAGGAGCTCTCTGGTGCAATCCTGGCCATTGAAGCCAGAGGTTTGCATCCTCTTGCAGGGAGCAGAGACATTGTAGGATCAGAGAGGATGGATGAGGGATTCAGGAACCCAGAGGTCGGGGTTTGCAGCCTCTTGCAGGGAGCAGGGACATGGCAGGATCAGGGAGGATGGATGAGGGATTCAGGAACCCAGACCTGCTCTCAGTCAGGTGCCAGTGGCAGTGCTGGTGCTGGATTGTATGTTAATTTATGCTAATTACGGTTATCCTCAGGCCACAGCTGGAGAGGAGACAGGTCAGATACACTCCTTAGTCCTGCTAAATCCTCAGCACCCCCTGGGAACTTTTTGGGGAGCAGAGGTGCAGGATGTGGTCCTGCATGAGAGCCTGGACACTGAGTCCGTGTGCCAAAGGAAGGGGAAAAGCAGGGGCCAGTCTGGGGTAAACTCCCCCAAATGCTGAGCATTTGTGATTCGGGGTTTCTTGAGACAGAGGTGGGATTTCTGTGCTCTGCAGCTCTTGATACAATTTATTATCCTGTTACAAAGGTCCTGCGCAGGCAAAGGTCAAATCCTGCTGACCTCACTGAGTGCTCATTTCTTTGGGTCTGGCTGCATGTCCAGGACTGTCCTTGGTGGACCCTGAGGGTGAAACCACAGACCAGGCCCTGGAAAGTTCTTCTGCCCTAGCTTTTCATGGGAAAAGGAGCCTAGATGAGATGACCTGGGTAGGGACAGGGCAGGGACATCCCTGCTGGGTTTGGTGCTACTTTCTCCCAGCCCCTTTAGTGCAGACCCCTTCAATTCTTGCTGCTTTCTCGCAGGTCTGGAGCTGTCTCACTGCATCGGGACCAACTCTCTGGGTCCCACTGGGCCTTGGAGGTCGGGGGGGCCCTGCAAGATGAAGAGAGTCCGCACAGTCTTCAAACCAGAGCAGCTGGAGCGGCTGGAGCAGGAGTTCCTCAAGCAGCAGTACATGGTGGGCACTGAGAGGGTGGACCTGGCTGCAACTCTGCACCTCACAGAGACCCAGGTGAGGGATGGGGGAGCTGATCCTGGGGCTGCTCCCTGCTGATGATCCCACAGTCCCTGCTGATGATCCCACTGTCCCTGCTGATCATCCCAGTCCCTGCTGATGATCCATCCCACTGTCCCTGCTGATGATCCCACTGTCCCTGCTGATGATCCCACTGCTCCCTGCTGATGATCCCACAGTCCCTGCTGATGATCCCACAGTCCCTGCTGATGATCCCACTGTCCCTGCTGATGATCCATCCCACTGTCCCTGCTGATGATCCCACTGTCCCTGCTGATGATCCCACTGCTCCCTGCTGATGTTCCCACTGGGAAGCGTGGTGGGAGGAGGACACTGTGAAAAGTGACCTGTGGGACACCCTGCTGCCAGGTGACATTGAAGAGATGTGCCTGGAGTTTGGATGGTTTCTGGATAAGATTTCTGAATCCAGGAAGTGGAACAAAAAGCATTCAGGAGCACAACCCTGCTGTGCTTTAGAGTACGAGCTGGGTTGGTTGCTGTGTCTGCATTGTCACAATCCTCTGGAGACTGTTTCAAGTGTCCTTTTATGACACTGGATATAATTATTTCCCTGTTCTGCCATGTGAGTTCCTGCTCCTCCCACAGTGAACTGCTTGTTTAGTGTGGAAAGAAGGAGCCAGGTGATCTTCCACAGTGGGATCTAAATTCACCTTGGAAAAAGGGAGAGCAAAACAAGGCCAGTTCTGGGGGGACAAAGGATGATTACTGGGGCTCTCATCATGCCCTGTAGCAACTGCAGTCCTGGGGATGGGTTCAGGGGCTCCTTAGGGAGCTGCTTCCTTCACTTCCCTGGCCAGACCCCTCTCAGTGCAGCTGTATCCCCCTCCCCCTGATCCTTTCCCATCACTGCTCTGCCCCTTGTAGCTTCACCTCCTCCTGTTCTTGTTCACTATTCCCTGAGGGAATAATGCACATCCAATGCCACGGGGCATTGGAAAAGGGCTGCTTGGATTAAGCTGTTGTGCCATTTCCCACCCAGGTGAAAGTGTGGTTCCAGAACCGGAGGATCAAGTGGAGGAAGCAGAGCATGGAGCAGAAGGCAGCAAAGCTGTCGCAGTTTGGGGTGATCCAGCCCGCGAGCGCCGACTCCACGGCCAGCAAGGACCATGAGGAGGACCCTGTGGACGTGGAGCTCTGAACAGCCGAGGAGATTGGGCTGTTTTTGATGCCTGGGGATGTGTCTGTGCTGCTTTGGTCCGAGCAAGACTGATCTGAGAGCTGGAGCTACAGGACTGACCTGCAGCTGGCTGGAAGGAACCTCCCGAATTTCTTTGGCTGCTGTTTGGTAGCCAGGTGCTCTAATTCCTGGGGCTTCATCACTTGATGGCAGGTGATCTGTTTGCTCATGAAGCACCAGGACACACAGTTTCCAGCTGAGAGGCTGGGGTGACAATCAGGGTGTCTCTGGTGCTGGGGTGAGAACTGGAGAGTGACTGATACTGGGACAACAATCAGAGAGTGATTGTGCTGTGGGGGTGACAATCAGAGGGTTACTCTGAAGCTGGGGTGACAATCAGAGAGTATCTCTGGTGTGGGGGTGACAATCAGAGAGTGATGCTGGGCAGGCAATGGGATGCTGTCTCTGATGGCTCTGAGCACAAGGACATTTAAAACCAGGGTCACTTATGTGTGCCTGTGTGCTCCAAGGAAGAAGGAGAATCTCCCTGATTGTTTTTTCGTCTCAACTTGACTCCCACACTTGATGTTCAGATCAATCACAACCAAAACACCCCCAAAGGGGAAGCCCTTTGCTCGCACCCACGGACTCCTGAAAAGCGATGATGAGCAGGGTCTGATCCTGCCCTGGAGCAGAAGTGCCTCCCTCTGGCAGTGCCTTGGTGTATCTGTGCCTTTTTCACAGCTTCTCTGAGCTGCATTCAGCCCTGGCAGCCTCTGTCCTGGTACTGCTGTCCTTGCCCAGGGTGTGTGCTGCTGCTGCTGCTGCTGCTGCAGGGCTGGAGGCTGCAGTAAAAACCAACTCACAGCCCCTGTGCTGCTGCTGCAGGGCTGGAGGCTGCAGTAAAAACCAACTCACAGCCCCTGTGCTGCTGCTGCAGGGCTGGAGGCTGCAGTAAAAAGCAGCTCACAGCCCCTGTGCTGCTGCTGCAGGGCTGGAGGCTGCAGTAAAAAGCAGCTCACAGCCCCTGTGCTGCTGCAGACTGCCCCCTGCCCTGTACCAGATGTGCCACCAGACAGCAGCGGCTCTGTTCTCTGCTCATTATCCGTGCAGGTGCCCTGGGACACAGCAGCTGCAGCGCTTGGAGCACATCTGGAGCAGCCTGATGCAGTTAACAGCTGGATTTTTGGGGTGGGGAGGGCTCTGGGGGGCCAGGACTAAGGACTCAGGCTGCCCAGGGCAGCAGCCACCACGGCCCATCAGCTCAGGATAATTTATTCTGTCTCTTTCTGACCTAGAACACTGTATATCACTTTACTCTTATATTGTTATTTATAGAAATATCTTTTTTTGCCTTAATACATGTCATTTATTTATTTGCTTTGTCTTTTATTAAAAAACGAATTAATTTTAAAAAGAGAGAGGGAATGAATGTAAAAAAAATCAATAACAACAACAAAAAACAGGCAGAAAACTTTCCAAGTACTCACTTTAATTTTCAATTGAAATTAGCAACAAAAAAAACCAAACCAAAACCAAGTGTATTTTCATCCTTCTTCAAAGAGTTTTGATGGGATTTTTCTTAATAAACTATTTTGGACAAAATATGTACTAAAGATCTTTTTTTCAATTGATTGATGACCCCATATCAAAGTAGATGACAAGCGTTACTAGCTCTGGGCTGGATCCTGCAGAGATAAAACCACATTTTCAATAAGAGCAGTCATGGTGAGTATGGGGTGCTCAGGCCCCTGGAGAACAAGAACCTGTGAATGAATGGCCAGACCTCTGCAGCTCCTGCTCTGCCAGCCTGAGGGGCTGGAGCGTGGCCAGGGAAGGGAACGGAGCTGGGAAGGGGCTGGAGAATTCCTGAGGGAGCTGGGAAGGGGCTGGAGAATTCCTGAGGGAGCTGGGAAGGGGCTGGAGAATTCCTGAGGGAGCTGGGAAGGGGCTGGAGAATTCCTGAGGGAGCTGGGAAGGGGCTGGAGAATTCCTGAGGGAGCTGGGAAGGGGCTGGAGAATTCCTGAGGGAGCTGGGAAGGGGCTCAGGCTGGAGCAAAGGAGGCTCAGGGGGAATTTCTGGCTCTGCACAAGTCCCTGGCAGGAGGGGACAGCCAGGGGGGATTTGGGATCTGCTCCCAGGGAACAGGGACAGGAGGGGAATCCCAGAATCACCGAGGCTGGAAAATCCTTCCCAGCCCGATCCCCCCTTGTCCCCAGCCCAGCCCTGAGTGCCACCTCCAGGCCTTCCCTTGCCCAGGGATGGGCACTCCAAACCTCCCTGGGCAGCCTCTGCCATTCCACCCCTTTCCATGGGGAAATCCCTGAGGGAACGGCCTCAGGTTGTGACAGGGACAGGTTTATATTAAATGCTGGGGAAAATTCATTCACTGGAAGGGCTGTCCAGCCATGGCACCGCTGCAGTGTTGGAAACCCCATCCCTGGAGGGGTTTAAAATGTGGATGTGGCACTTGGAGACATGGCTCAGTTGTGGCCTCGGCAGTGCCAGGGAATATTGGACTCGTTACTCTTCGAGAGCTTTTCCCACATAAATATTCCATGAATCGCTGAGTTTGTAATGGCAACAGGAGCCACGGCAGCATCGCTCCACCTGTGCCTCGTCCCTGTGGTCCCTGCCACGGGCACGGTGCGATGGAGCTCGGCCTGCGCTGGCTCCCACAGCACAGCGGGGAACGCGGCCCTGGCAGCCCGGCTGTCCCTCATCCCCCGGCCGGAGCAATGGCCAGCCCTGAGGCCGTGCTCCAGCTGCTGGCCCGGCAATGGAGGTGGCAGTGCAGCCTTGTCACCCGGTGTCCCCGGTGTCACGAGCCGACAGTGACATCTAGTGACACCAAAGACCCCGAGCACGGAACCGTCCCCGGCTCCAGTCCCGCTCCCGCCGCGGGGCCAGCGAGCACCGGGGCTGTGCCGCAGCGCTGCGAATTAGAAAATGCAACCAAAGACGCTTTTCCGTGGCCTTTAAGGCTTTGCAGACCTCCGAACAGGAGGCAGCGAGGGCAGAGTGGCCTCAGTAGCGTGTTTTGAAGGCTTTTTTGGGGGAAGTCGGGCCAGTTTTGGGTGCGCAGGGCAGCGGGCGATGCCTCCTCTCTCCACGAGGGGAGACCTCAAGTGAGGGGGGGGAACTTGTGTTCCGCCTGACAGAGCTGTGACGGCTATTCCTCTACTAAATAATAATAACTGACTGGGGAGACACAGCAAACTCTTGTAGCATTTGGGGCGGGAGCGCCCCGGCCCCGTTTTGGGCTGTTTTGGGCTGTTTTGGGGTGTTTTTGGGTGTTTCCAGACGCTGCCGGGGGGCTGTGGAGGGGTGCCAAGATGGCCGCCGGCCCCCGCGCGCCCCGCGGCTGAGGGGGGCGATGGCGAGCGCGGGTCCCTGAGGGGCGCAGGGGGCGGGGGCGGAGGAGGAGGAAGAGGAGGAGGAGGAGGAAGAGGAAGAGGCGCTGCCCGGCGGGTCAGGGCGGGGAAGTCGCCGCCCGAAGATGGCGGCCGCGGCGGGGCCACACGCCGGGGCTGCGGCGGAGGCGCGGTTCATCAGCAGCGCCAAGGTGAGCAGCCCGCGTTCTCCCCTCCGTGAGGGTCCCTCCCTTCCCGCCCCGCCTGGGGGGCGCAGGGAGTTGAAGCCCGCAGGGTCCCTTCGGGATGGAGGAATTCCCTCAGCTCCCGGGTATGACTCGGCTTCGGGCGCGTCCCTGACCCGCGGTTGTCCCTCGGCAGGGAAAGGGCTTGTTCGCCACCAGAAACATTCGCAAAGGGGAAACAGTCTTCGTGGAGAGGCCGGTGGTGTCATCCCAGTTCCTCTGGAATGCCCTGTACAACTACCGAGGTGAGCGGCTGGTGCTGCTGGCATGTCCCCATCCCTGTCACCTGTCCCGGTGGGGTGACCGCGGGACCCCAGAGGAGCTGCCCGGTACCAAGGGAAGGGTTTGGGTTCATCTTAGCGCCTTATAAAGGTGGCCTTGCTGCCTTTTCTGCCTCTGCACTAAACTGTTGACAAGTTCAGGTGTCATCTGAGGGATGGTGACTTCAGTCAGCCCTGGAGGAATATGGCAGGTGGCACCATGGAATGTTGGAATGGGATGGGGTGGAAGGGGCCTTAAAGTTCCCATTCCACCCCTGCCATGGGCTGGGACACCTTGCCCTAGGCCAGGTTGCTCCAAGCCCCATCACTTTGTTCCTCTCTGGTGTTTGTACCAGTTGTGTTGCCTTGCTCTGGGTTCTGGCCCCTTTCCTGTGCCTGCCATCCATCCATCCATCCATCCATCCATCCATCCATCCATCCATCCATCCATCCATCC